AAATTTCTCTTTATATGTTGATTTGATTTCTTATATATTGAGCTACATTATTATTTTCTCTATTCCCACCGTTTTTTGCCGTTATTTAATTGTATATATATTTATTTTATTTTTGATTTTATCTTTATAGAAATTAGTTAACAATTCTTATAACTATTATCCCACATAAGTCTTTTATGAACTTTACACACACCCCTTTGGCACAAAACTAAACCTGACACAAACAACTCTAGGTTATGATTGGCTAGTTCTTAACATCAACTCATATTGAAAATCCAGTTTACGTGACATCGACATCCGAGCCTATATATTTCATCACACTCATTAAACATAACCCTTTATCCTCCTGGAAAAGAACAGTCAAGTATTCAAAATCACCCGAGTTTTGGGTCTCGTTCTGAAAATATTACAAGAAAATTAATCATGGACTAACTTCTGAGTGTGAGTCATCTCATGAGCTGTGTTGAAAAGACCCAGAACAGCCTTACGGTCCTCAACTCGAGAAAGCAGAATCATCAGAGAAACATAAGTTGTTATTAAATCCAAGTAGTTTTTTGTGAGGTCAAAATTAATAGTCTGGAAATAGAAAAAGATGAACATTAGAAAATACACTGTCAGTAGCTAAACACTGAATTTTAACTTTGTTAAAAATAGAAGAATATAATACACAATTTTTTAGTCATACTTGCTATGAAATTAATATTATTATCTTATTTTTAAAATTATAACAGGAACAGCAATGCCTGAGTGAACATAGTGTTTTCAAAAAGAAATTCTAAAAAAAGAACTTTAACCAAATTGTAAACTGAAATTTTAGCTGCTGTAAGTTTAATACATTCAGTGGCACCTCGCAGATCGATACCCATGCCAGGTGTCATTGGTTGTTTTTTATTAGGAGCATTTTAATAATGCAAAATAATATCAGATAGAATATTTATGTATATTTATGCTTATTCAACTAAAATCTGTCCCATGACACACATGCATCAGCAGCACTGGCTAACATCCCTTTGGATGCACATGTGGCAGTGAATGTTAAAACGTTTAAGTTCACATATTTCACTAATAGAGACTGTGTTCATGGTGTCATAAAATTGTTACTATCCTTACACAATTATCATACTGATAACTATTATGTCAAGTTATACAGTTATAAAAAATTAATTACTTACAATATCAAGCTGAAGCTGACATGCATCCATTGTAGTTAAAAGTTCACTGACATGATCCTGCACAAACACAAAAATTGGGTTGTTCATGAAAATTGATTTAAGAGGCAATGTATATTGTAAAACAAAATATTTTGACAAAATTTATTTCAAAAATAAAATATTTAACAGGTTTTATTGTGAAACAAAACATGTTAAACAAATTAAAAATTACTTGTATAAATATTTTCAAAAATGCAACTATTCTCATCTGCTACACCTTGATTACATGCATTTTCAGACATAATTTATCAACAGAATCAACTTACAATAGTAGTACTTCAAGAAAGTATAAAAGTTATCATTTTGAAAACTCAGTCCCAGAATTTCTTTATTAAATGGCTATTTTTTGAACGAAGCTACTTGAAATTCTTTATGCATGGACAGAGAAAAATTCAAATCAGATGTAGAAAATATTCTACACAAATTAACTAAATAAAGAATGAAGGTATGTTACACTACACCAATTTTTAAGGAATTGGTTTGCTTTTAAATCCTGAAAATCTGTAATATGATCCATAACAGATTCCAATTATGTTTGAAAATTACTGTTGCTATGTCATTTCTGGTTTGTTTTACTATCAGATGACAATTTTCTCAGCTGTTGAGATGGAAGAAAATCATGAGTGTAAACATCATTAATGCCTGTGGGAGGGAATTAATTAATTAAATCAAATACTTTACAATGTATTTAATAGTCAGCTGCTTTTGTAGATTTGAGTGATGAGCAGTTGTACATAAACAATGATGTCGAGTGTGCCATATTCAATGGCAAATCAAGTGGTTTGGAATCTCTTGTGGTTGATTTGTCTGCCCAGGTCTTTAAGTTCCAAATTTGGCCTCAAATATATTTTCTGTAACAAGACCACAAGTAACAGGGATATCTACCTCTTTTGAGTCAATGGTAGGTAAAAAAGTTGCCTTCAGTGTCATAATGCAAGCAACTAAATCTTATAAACTTAACCATATTTTTTTTAGAACAAACAAACCTGATTTATTCTTTTTTAGCAAAAACAAAGTTATCATTTTCCTAATATGAAAATGTATTTCCAAACATGCTTACCTCCGCTGACACTTATAGCTATTTCTCGATCTTTACCATCTAAACATCGTGTTTGCTTGCTCCAGTATTTATACCCCACTCGACTGCCCTCTACAATATCCAACTTGCAAAACTTTACACTGGCCCTCACATGCCCTCTATGCAGGTACTGTATATAAGCACTGTATGTCAACAATATAATCACTTTTTGAGACTTACCACATCCTGGTCACTAACACCAGCATTTAGTGGTGAGGAAGGGAGGGAGAGTGTCAGCAGAGGTAAGCATGTTTGGAAATGCATTTTCAGATTAGGAAAATGATAACTTCCAAAACATACATACCACCGCTGACACTTATAGCTAGAATCCCACATTGAGAAGGCAGAGGGACTGGTGAAGGCATAGTTTATATAGAAAACATCTGCACAGAACAAAGGTGTACCATGAGAAGTGGTACCCAAGCAGGGAAAACTACACTATATCCAGAACAGATCTGGTGTGAAATGCCATTGAAATGACAGAAAAGATTCCATGGTGAAATGAGGAGGCTGAAGGAAGAGATTGAGTCGAGACATACTGATGATAAGATGCCAATCTCTAGTGTTCTTGGTCACCAGAAAAAGACGAGAATAGAATCCAGGATGAATGGGATCGACCTTCTGAATGGGGAGACACCAACGCCACTGGTGCCACCAAAACTTCTAAAGAGCCCCGAGAATAAGGACGGAACTGATTCTGGAAACCAATAGGACAAGGTTTCGAAGGTGGGGTCCACAAGACACGAATGATCGATCCTCCAGAATTACTCGTTGGAGTAGAAGAGTGGCAAGCAGCCAACGGCAATAAAGAAAACATGCCATATAAAATCAACCTTCGACAGTTTCAGGGACTCCAGCAAACTAGTAAGGATGAAAAAGGGGCACCTCCTGGAAATCACGAAGAGGAGTATCACAATACAATAATAAGAGTTAAATAAATCTGCAAAAATGGAGATCTGGTAAGAGGGATAACAGATTCTAACCTGGAACCCCATAGATCCAACAACAAATCCAACTGTTGTAGTGTCCAAATATACTACAGCCAGATGATAAGCCAGGGCATGTTGTTCTGATAAACAAAAAGAGCAATGCATAGCAATACTCTCTCATAATTGCACTGCAAACATCCCAGCATACACGGCAATATCAGGGGAAGGAGGAAGAACTAAGCAACCCCCCCCCCCCGAGATCTATCTGACAACAAGGCAGGGTAGACTCAAAAAAAAAAAAAAAACACAAGGGGTGAATCCACAAAGCTTCACAAACTTGTGTAACTAACTGCAGAAAAGAGGCAGAAGGTGGCTAATCAGATGAGCCCTCAAGTAGAAGCAGCTCTAGTGAAAGAAGGAGCAGAAAACAGTGTCTAAATTCTCCTCAGTATATTCAGGTTCTTGATGAAAAGCCAACTCTGAACCCCTGGGCCACATGAAGAACTACAACTCATCCTGAATCAGGTTACAGACAGCCTCCACTGAGAGTGGACCCCCACCCTGACCGCCAACTATCACCAGACAATGAAGGAGGAATGGACGAGGTCTGGTTAACCCCTGTGCCGGTTACACATGAATTAATACCTGCATTTGTTTATTTTATTTTATTTTTTGATCTGCAAAAGAAAACCAAAGAAATATCAGCAATGGGGAAAAAACAAAAAACATCAGACTACTGTCAAAATGCTTCAAAAGAAAATGTGAACAACAAAACATAACTCTTAGCACCAGCATTCTGTTGAGAAAAAGTGATTATATTGTCGATATACAGTGTTTATATACAGTACCTGCATAGAGGACATGTGAGGGCCAGTGTAAAGTTTTGCAAATTAGATATTGCCAAGAGCAGTCGAGTGGGGTATAAAGACTGGAGCAAGCAAACACGATGTTTAGATGGCAAAGATGAAGATCGAGAAATAGCTATAAGTGTCAGTGGACGTATGCATGTTTTGGAAAAATCACTCATTGTTTCATAAATTTTTGTCAAAAAATCTGTAGAAAAAGAATTTCTTTTTTGTTACAACATTACAAGCAACCAAAAGAAAAGGAATTTTCTGTAGAAATTGTCAATGATTATAATTTACACATTTATACAAGTTTGGCATTCAAACATTGTCAAAACCTAGTTTTTGTGAACAAAATTTAAGCAATGTTGCTTATAATTAAAGTTTGATACAATTTAACCTCAAAGTCTTCAGGAAATGCAAAATCAACATAAACCATTACTAAAGAGCAGATTAGATTAAATGTTTGATAATACATGGTAGTACAAAAGTCACACACCATAAATTTTTTAACTTCTGCACTTATAGCTGTTTGAAATGTGAACAACTGATATTAAGACATCATGTCACTATTTCATTCAGCTTTCAAGAAGATTACATTCCCTCATGTAATGTTGCATTTCCTCGTGAATTGTTGTTTTATTTAATCCATGCAATATGTTCATTTTCATTGGTCATAACTAAAGGAATACGGATGGAACATGCATTTGTGATCAGGAAAGCCAATTAAAAAGATGAAATTCCTCAAACAAAGTTAAATTCCTTGGGAATGTAATATTTCAACCCCTGAAAATTATTATACCTTTCATGCCATTGTTTATGTTATATAAGTACACCCTTACATAGATGTGCATATGATTGAACACAAAAAGTTTGATTTTTTTGGATTTTATGTCAAAGCTACTTTACATCAATAAACACTTTGAGACTAGTAAGTGAAAGGATCACAGAGTAAGCTCTACGAAAGAGTTAGAGATAGATGGTCAGAATTGGATTTCTTAAGCTACAAATTACATTTAAATGTAAAATTGAGCACAAAATTGCAATATTAAAGTAAATATTTTAAATTAAGAACTTTAAAACAAATATTCAAAATAAGTTACCTTGAAATCTAAAAGATCAACAAAGGTATAGTAATACAGAGATAATGATTTCATTATTTCTTGTCTTATACTGGACACAGCACTAAGTTGGCTCTAGAAAAGACAGAAAAAAAAATTCTACAAGTAGGCTCAGTATAATAATTCCACAAAATTTTATTTTAATAATGATTAACTCTCAAAAAAATATTTTAAAGATGCTAACAAATATTAAAGGTTATTTACTTTATGACAAATTAATAGTAGCATTAATAAAGCTATAAACACAGTATCTTAAGTATAAGTGTCATCTGTCACCAGATGTTTTGAGAGAGAGGATGGCATATAAAATTTTGCTTACATATGGTTATAGAGATGATACATTGTTCAAGGAACATTAAATTAGTGACAATACTTGAAACCAACAGCGAGTGTTTTGTGTTTCATATGTATGGCATGCTCTGTTATTTTTTTATTGTTACTTTAAAAGTATTGATTACAATGTTTAATACATCTTACTACAATACTTTTTTAATTTTATTATTATTTATTATTAAACTTTTATTATAGAGATTGCTTTCAATTGTTAGTGAAATATATGTATGTATCTATAGGACTACCCTACATATCCTAAGCTGAACAATTCTCATAAGATATTATTGGGATTATGGCAGAAAATACTGTTAACAGTGAGAGTACCAATATGGTTGACAATGCATTCAAATTTTTATAAATAATAATGTAAAAAAAGTATACTTAATTAGCTATACTCATTTTCAGGTTGAAGTTTTAGTTCCACTTGAAGTAGATGGTTTATTCCAATCAGAAGTTAATGTTAATTATCATTTTGATATAAATACAACTTTTATTATCTCAAATTTGTATCAAAATTATATTAGGTACCAGAACTTGAATGTAAATGCATTTAATTCATCTGATGTGCTTCTTCTACAAGATAATGTTATTTATGGTTTGAAATCATGATTTTAATTACCTAATAACATTTTTTCAGAAATTGCTACTTAACTACAGCAACTGAACAGCAAAAATTAAAACTGCATTACAATTTGTATAGTGTAAACTGTATACGAACAGTACACTACGAATAGAAGCTACAGCAACATTTCCCATCCATCAATAAAACAACTGAAATAGAAATATATTTACTATAGATATAAATGGTTTGTGAGATAAACTTAAAGAGCACTTAGTTTTACCCAAAAGTGCACGCTGTTCTACATGTAATGAAGAATCTTATGACTAAGAGGTATACGTACATATTATAATTTCTTCTTCTGTGTGTTTTACAATGAAGCTCAGTATATATGCATTAATTTACTTCACTAGCACAAACAAGGGTTATTGCAATTTTATAATTATATAGTGCCATGAACTCTGAGGTTATTATGATTCAATGGAGGGTATGAATAATGCCACAACCACAATGATTTTTAACTTTCAAAACACAAGTCTGTAAATTTTGAACCCTAAAAAAATATTTCACAATTTCACAAACAACAAAATTTTTGATGATGAAATAAATGAAATATAAACATTAACATAAATTTATTAATGAACATGAAAAAACCTTTTAGGTAACAGCCCTTCATTAAGTTTCCAGTGAGGAGAAAATAACATTCAGAAAAAACACGGTATAGAAAAAAGAACAATGAATGTTTAGCTCAAAGGCTCAAGAACATGTTCTTAAACTAAAAAAGAACAAAGTCAGGTATGAGAAGTAACACACACAAATACAAAAAATAAAAATTAATTGGGTAAAGTACAAGAAAATAAAAATGTTAAAGTAATGAATACTAAATAAAGTAATGAAGTACTCTAAATAAAAAAAAACTAGTAAAATATACCGTATTTTTCGATATATAAGATGCACTCTTTAACCCCAAAATTTGATGTCAAAATCTGCTTGCATCCTATACACCAAAGATATGAATAATACATATGTATATACAAGATATACACAAGCCATATGTAAATATATTTAAATAGGCAAGCATAGTTTAGTTCAACTGAAT